CGCGAGAGGGGAGAGCCCTTTCCCTTCGCTCGCCGCATAAAGGGAACCGAGCAGCGATCCTCCGGAGGAAAACTCTCGCCTTCAAACACCATCTTGTTTATTAAAGTTCTTAAAAAGAGAGAGTTGTTAACACCGCCGAAGGGATCCGGCCGCCCCAATGAAATAAACGGCCCTGTTGGGCTCCGGAAAAAAAAAAAATAAATAAAAAAAAATAAAAGATTAAGATGGGAGAAGTTTGAAAAAGGAAGCGGTAGGAGTAAGGAAATAGCAGAGGGTGAGAAATGATCCTTCAGCCCCCGTCTGCCGCGTGCTCGGTTTTTACAGGGACGAGATGCTTTTAGTTTGAAGGAGGGAAAGGGGGAGAGAGAGAGGTGGAAGGAAAGAAAGAAGAAAGGGACACAAAGAAAAAGAGAAAGGGAGAGGGAAAGGGGAAGAGGAAGGAGGGAGAGGGAAAAGGAGGGAGAGGGAAAAGGAGGGAGAGGGAAAAGGAGGGAGAGGGAAAAGGAGGGAGAGGGAAAAGGAGGGAGAGGGAAAAGGAGGGAGAGGGAAAAGGAGGGAGAGGGAAAAGGAGGGAGAGGGAAAAGGAGGGAGAGGGAAAAGGAGGGAGAGGGAAAAGGAGGGAGAGGGAAAAGGAGGGAGAGGGAAAAGGAGGGAGAGGGAAAAGGAGGGAGAGGGAAAAGGAGGGAGAGGGAAAAGGAGGGAGAGGGAAAAGGAGGGAGAGGGAAAAGGAGGGAGAGGGAAAAGGAGGGAGAGGGAAAAGGAGGGAGAGGGAAAAGGAGGGAGAGGGAAAAGGAGGGAGAGGGAAAAGGAGGGAGAGGGAAAAGGAGGGAGAGGGAAAAGGAGGGAGAGGGAAAAGGAGGGAGAGGGAAAAGGAGGGAGAGGGAAAAGGAGGGAGAGGGAAAAGGAGGGAGAGGGAAAAGGAGGGAGAGGGAAAAGGAGGGAGAGGGAAAAGGAGGGAAGGGAAAAGAAGGGAAGGGAAAAGAAGGGAAGGGAAAAGAAGGGAAGGGAAAAGAAGGGAAGGGAAAAGAAGGGAAGGGAAAAGAAGGGAAGGGAAAAGAAGGGAAGGGAAAAGAAGGGAAGGGAAAAGAAGGGAAGGGAAAAGAAAAGAAGGGAAAAGAGCGAAAGCATCCCAGAACGGTGGAGGTTGGCAAGGACCTCTTGAGGTCATCTTTTCCAACCCCCTGCTCCAGCGGGATCACCCACAGCACCCAGAAAGAAAGGACAAGAGGGACGGAAAAAGAAACACCCACCCTATAAAAAGACCCTCGGTGGGGGGGGGGGGGCGGGGGGGAGGAGAGTGAAATTCCACTTCTGCAAAGGAAAGGAAGAGCGAGAACCGTTGGAGTCTGAGGCCTGTGAGGAACGTGGCGGCGCTGAGCGCGGGCTGCGCAGGACGCCGGGGCGGTGGGTGAGGACAGGAGGTGGGTGGGCAGGATTTAGGAGATGGGTCCAAGCGAAACCCTGAAAACAAAAGAGGCCCCCTGAAGGCTGAGGAGAACACGGGCTGGGAGCACACGATAAGAGCCCGCGTGGCGAAGCTTCCAGTCCTCGCTAATCCTGTCGCTCCCGGGAATCCAGAACCAAGGCTGGAACAAACAGGGGATGTTTTCCCCTTTGAAGAAGAGGAGATGTATGACTGAGGCGCCACGCGGATGCCAGAAGAGAGGAAAGCGAGAAGTGAGCAGCGAGAAGTTCGCTCTGGAGAACATCTCCATCTTCGCTTCCCTCCGCAGGTTAAGCCCTTCCACCCGCCAAAGAAACAGGAGGAACACGGTCCTCCCACCCCAAGCGACGCCGAGCGAGCGGCTCCGCGGAACAAGGCAGAACGCTGCCCGATCCCACCATGGCCCCCAAGGACACCGGAGGGGATCCGAGCTCCAGAGCCGACCGGCGCACACAACCACGGACCGCGATCCACTCCAGTAGATCCCAGCTCTGCCACCGGCTGCGGGACGCGTTGACGCGACGGAGCCTCGCTAAGATGGGCGCGGTGGTCCCCCCCACCATGACCATGTGGGTGCCGGGGGCTCGCGCCGAGGGGGCACAGCCGAAACCTCCGCCTGGCAAACGGCCCAGCGGAGGACGAGGGGCACGCGGTGTAGGGCGCAGCACCCGAAAGAGAGAAACAAAGGCAACGGGCGAGAAAGAGAAGCAACGGTACAGTCAACAAGGAAGAGCGAAAAGTGCCAACAAAGCCACAGCGGGGAGAAGGGCCACCGAGCCGAGGGAGGAACAACAAAGAGCACGGGGGTCCCAACGCCTCCCCAACCGCACGGTTCAGCCCTACCAACCCCTCAGCTGCCACGAGCGACCGCCTTTCACCCTCGCTTGATAGAGGGGCCAAATTCTCTTTGCGACCACTTTTCCACCATTGGGTTCAGTAAAAGCTGCCCTGGTGGGAAGATAGATAGATAGAGGGGCCAAATTCTCTTTGCGACCACTTTTCCACCATTGGATTCAGTACCAGCTGCCCAGGTGGGGCGATACAGGGGGCAAATTCTCTTTGCGACCACTTTTCCACCATTGGGTTCAGTAAAACCTGCCCTGGTGGGAAGGAGACTCTGGTCCACAGGCACGTGGTGCCCGAAGGGGTCCGGGATGGAGAGAACTGGCCTCCAGACGCTGATGGCCACCACTGCTGGAGGAGCAGCTACCTTCTAGACCAAAGAGGAGCGATTTTGCCAGCGGTGAACCTGCTTCCAACCCACCGTGCCCAGCCACCGTGGCTCAGGGGACAGCTAGAGAAGCCACCGGTCCCGAAGCCAGGAGTTTGGCCCCCTGGTGACATCTAGGATCCCTATGCCAGAGCTACCACCTGCCCCGAGGACCGGCGAGGGCCACGCCGAGGTCCTCGCTGGGGTGGTGGCAGGCATCTAAGGTAGGAAGCGACGCACTCCCCAGCCCTCGGCGTGTGCCAGGACCTCCAGCTCGTGCCCCGTGCCGTGGTGGCACCAGGGGGGATGCATGCCGGCACCCAGATCCTGCCCGGGCGCTGGTGGCACCGGGGCGCTGGACGAGCGGACGAGGCGGTGGCCGTGCCCAGCCTTTGGTTGGGGTCAGGGGCCACCCCGAGCGGTGACGGGAGAGGGCTGGGACATGGCGGGACACCCCTTCTTACCTTCAAAAAACCGCTGCAAAGCTTCCGTCTCATCCACCACCTCCATGTCTGGGCCATCCACCGGCCGGCCGGGTTAGTCTCCGCGCCCGGTCCCGGCCCCGAGCCCGGTCGCTCGCTGCCCATCGGCCTCCGCCGTTCACCACCGAGCGCTGGCCCCAAACTTGGGCTGCCGCCGAGCGCTCCTCCCTCCCTCCCTCCCTTCCTCCCCGCCCTCCGGTGCTCCGGCACCGCTCCTCCTCCTCCTCCTCCTCCTCCTCCTCCTCCCACTCGCTCCGGTACCCAGGGCTCCCCCGAGAGACTGAACCTCCCGAGACCCCATGTTCTCTTCCCTGCCCTCCAAAAAAATAGCTTTTTCCAACAGGGCGAAGCCCCAGCGCCACCCAAAACTCAAAAAAAAAAAAAAAACAAACAACAAAAAAACAACAAACCCAAAACTCGAAAAAAAAAAAAACCAACCCAAAAACCCTAACACACCCTCAAAAGAAAAATCCCACCCCAACCAACCCCCAAACCCAGCCATAAATCACCAAAAAATGCTGGGGGAAGGGGAAGGGACAGTTTTGTTTTCTTCCCCAGATGTGCCCACAATCAATAATAATGCCTCAAATTCCAAAAAAAAAAAAAAAAAAAATAAGAGTACAGAATCAAAATGAAGTTACAGTTATCTGACCACAGTTAACCAAACGCAGAGCCCCTGCCAGCCCAAGACTGTGGGACCATTCTCTTCGGGGCAGATAAAGCGCACAATGAGGTTTTGTCCATCCCCACAAACCAATTCAGAAGGGCAGATTCTCTTATATATATAAATATATTTTTCTCGCTCACACAGCTGTGCAGTGACCAATTCTTCTCTGGGGAGGGGAGGGGGGGGCCGAGGTTTGGGGAGAGTAATAGGTCTATTATTTCGGGGATGGAGAGAAAGAGCTCAACAGCCCTTTTTTCTTCTCTCTCTCTCTTTCCATTAAGACAATTGTTATTCTCTGTCACCCCACGCCCCTTGTCCCCGCGCACACGCTCACCTCCCCCATCTTCGGGCACAAGCTGCGGGGGAAGGAAGCAAAATTTTATTTTGGCCGCCCAGGCCGAGCGCTGGTGCAGGGCCGAACCGTGGGCGATGCCAGGTTAGATGTCACCAGATGAGGTGAGACCCCAGAACTAAGTGCTCCTGCTAAAGATTCGAGCCCCGACCCGCGGTTTCCCGTCCTGCCAGTGGCATGTGATCTCCACCATGCGAGGGCCTCCTGCATGGAGCTGCCAGGAATCATAGACTGGTTTGGGTTGGAAGGGACCTTGAAGACCATCCAGTTCCACCCCCCCGCCCTGGGCAGGGACACCTCCCACCAGCCCAGGTTGCTCCAAGCCCCGTCCAACCTGGCCTTGAACACCTCCAGGGATGGGGTAGCCACAGCTTCTCGGGGCAACCTGCGCTAGCGGCTCACCACCCGCACAGGCAACAATTTATTCCTAATATCTCATCTCAGTCTTCCCTCTTCCAGTTTAAAACCATTCCCCCTCGTCCCACGGCTCCCCTCCCTGATCCAGAGTCCCCCACCACCTCTCCTGTAGCCCCTTTGGGCACTGGAAGGGGCTCTGAGGTCTCCCCGGAGCCTTCTCTTCTCCAGGCTGAACCCCCCCAACTCTCCCAGCCTGTCCTCCCAGCAGAGGGGCTCCAGCCCTCCCAGCATCTCCAGGGCCTCCTCTGGCCCCGCTCCAACAGCTCCGTCTCCTTCTGCTGGTGGGACCCCCCGAGTGGAGGCAGCACTGCAGGGGGGTCTCCCCAGAGCAGAGCGCAGCAGAGGGGCACAATAACCCCTCGCCCTGCTGGCCACGCTGCTGGGGATGCAGCCCGGGGTGCCGGTGGCTTTCTGGGCTGCCAGGACACGTTGCCGGCCCACGTTGAGCTTCTCATCAACCGACACCTCCAAGTCGTTCTCCTCAGGGCTGCTCTCCAGCCATTCTCCGCCCAGACCGTGTCTGTGCTTGGGACTGCCGTGACCCACGTGCGGGACCTTGCACTTGGCCCGGTTGAAGTTCATGAATAGACGTCCCAGTGAACGCACAGCGCTGTACGCCCAAGTTTTACTTGAGAACACAGCCAAAGACATTCCCGGGCACATATAGGACCTGAGCATCCAACTCAGTGCCACCGGCGCACGGGGAATCCTCCCGCTTTGAGTCTGTGCTCGCTTTCAGAACCTCCCCCGTCCTCCCTGATGGTCACCACAACGTTGCCCACCCATACATCTTCTTCTCGTGCCATCGGGCCGACGGCGCATCCCCTACGCCACTCTCAGAGAGCGCTAATAAATTAGAGGAGTGGCAGGAGGGAGCCGGAGCTTTGGTTGCTCGGGCACAATAAAACAACAAGGGAAGGCCAAGGCCATTCTGGGTCACTTCCCCGGTGGCTGTCAAAGCCAGCAGGAGAACCAGTAAACGGGCCAAGCTGGCAGAAGAACAAGTTCCTGCCTGTTATGGCGTTGGACCCTAAAGCCGGGTTCAAAGATGATCAAAAGATTCGAAAGGCAAACGACCCCGAGGTCGCCCTGCCTGGGATACCCTCCATCGCACCGCGTGGGTCTTTGCCTGGGATTCTCCACCCTCCCCGAGGTGTGAACTCCTGCGCGGCGACTCATTTGAAAGGCACCGGTGACACCTCTCCCCGTTCCTTCGCGGCGACGGGACCGGCCCCGCTCCCCTTTTTCTCATAACTCACCGCAGAGCGGTCAACCCCAGCGCGGCACACATCCCACCGCCGAGAGGCGAAAAGCCCATCGAGAGCAACACATCACCGACGCGCACGTCGCAGCGCGGCCGCCGTCCCCAGCAAAGCATCCTCCCCATAAACACTCCACGTACATACCGGGGTGGGGGGAACAGGATAAACACAACACTCGTTTTCTATTGTCCGTGCTCCGAAGTTATCATAAGAACGGGCGGGTCGATGGCCCGGAAATAATTTCTGAAATAACTTTGCGCCTGCGGGTAAGAGAACGAAGCCAAACCAGGTATTTGTAGCCAGCGCTCGGCCGCGGTACCCCGGCAGCCACGCTCCGCACGGTGCCACCGGTGGGGTACCACCGGCACAGCATCACGCGCTATGTTATCATAAGAGCCCTCAGCGATTAAATAAAAGATCTTACGCCCAACTTGGGACTGGGAAGGCGGAGGTTAGCGGGGGCTGTGCCGGTCCCGATCCGAGCGGAGAGCCCACGGAACACAAGCCGGGTCTCCTGACCCCCAGATCCGCCTTGGACCTGCCCGGGGGTGGTTCAACCATCTTTGCCCCGTCCCTGGGGGCCGAATCAAGCGAAGGTATGGATGGTCTGCGTCCTTCTCACCCTATTTTTCTTCCTTCACGTTTGCCTCTCGACACTGCTCAGCTCTCTGTCTCCTAATTAAAGGGAGAAGACAGGTTGGGAGCGTATTCCTGATGGCACCGAGGGGCGCACCCAACCTCATCCCTTCCCCAAAGAGGAGAGAGCAGCTGGTCCTTGACTGCAACGAGCTCGGAATCCAGCACGGTGCAATCCCTGAGAGACACCAGAGAGATCCGAACCCAAAAAAGTCAAAAGGTGTCACTTCCATCTCCTATTGCCACACAGAAGGCAGCGCCGGGGGGGGGGGGGGGTGAAAAA